GAAATAAACATGAACCTACAGCGGGTCAATTAGTTCTTCAAATGATACTTTTAAGTTAATTTTTTAGTTTTGTGATATTAATAATGCTGATGTATTGATATTTTTCTAGTTTTGATTTAAGTTTGCTTGTTTAGCRTCGTCACAGTTGCTAGGTGACATGACGTACGCCCGGGTAAGGAGTGGAGGCTAGACCGTCCAGATTCACAGCCTCTTTTTTTCCGGTCTTCCCGGTCTACCAAGGACCCGGCCCRCHGCGACCGGGGAGTCTGGGTCCTCCGGAGGACCCGGCCTGTCGTTTTGGACACAGCCCTTGTGTGCTCTGGTGAAGGACAGACTAACAGATGAGAACAGGCAAGAGTCCTCGTGGAATCTGATGTTTGCAGAGGACATCATGGTCTGTAGTGAGAACGAGGAACAGGTGGAAGAGAACCTGAAGAGGTGGACAGAGCCCTGGCATGACAGAAGGTAGAAGGTGAAACAGTGAGGCTACAAGGAGCATAGGTCACAAAGGTCCAGGACTTCAAGGACTTAAAGTCCACTGTCTAGGAAAGAACATTTATTGTACAAATCCCAATTAGAAAGATATTTAGAGAGTGATTATTTGACTTTCATAAACTGTGATGTAGTGACCAAGAGGTAGAGAGAAATATGTAGTGACCATGAAGTAAAGAGAATGACGTAGTGACCATGATGTGTAGAGTGAGTGAACATTTCAAACAGTCTCATCTGATACTTCCAGGCTGAGCTGCTTGCGCATGAAGATTGTTAAATGAAAGGTTGCAGCTTTTAAACTCACCGCAGCCAGCTTCTTGAAGAGGAACTCAAACTGTTTAGCTTCTTTGATCATCCTCTCGGCTCCATCTTTCCTCTCTTCAGCATTTTTAAAAGTGATTCTCTTCTGCATAACTGCTTTAATGTACTCCACCACCACCCTGCGCAAGGCATCCTTTGTCATCTCCTGCACAAAACAGTCAGAGGTCAGGATACTGTCAAACATCTGGAAATATGACAACCAGTCACCTCCCTACTAACTATGTGTACACATCTGTTAAAGAAAACCCACAGAAGGCACTGAAATTTCTTAAAACTGACATTAACAAACAAAAACAACCTCAGAATAAAAATCAGCTAGCTTTACTTTTAACACATATGTTTTATTAGTTAAAGCTTTTTATTACTAATACTTTTGTCATGTATGTTTTTCTTAATTTATATAACAGAAGGGTACAGACAAGCACTGGATTCAGTACGATGTAAATACATTCTTTTTGTAGTTATCCTAACTCTTTTTCATCCTACCTGATTGAAAGGTTTCTTGATTTTGTTGAAGTCATTGAAATAATCCTCCACAGTCACACAGATGGTGTCCACAGCATGAGAACCTGTCAGCCACTTCCTGGTTAGCAGCTCATTCAGGTGGTTCTGCTCAGATTAAAGCAGGTAAAACTCAGTGAAGCCACTGTGAGAAAACATCCTGATCCAAAGTACATTTTAACTTTGTTTCTGAGAATATAATGAACATAACAATATTGAACTCTGACTGATGAGCTAACCGCTGGTCTGAAGATCACTTAAACCCTAAGAACGTACAATAGGCTGCCTTCAGGCCCAGGCCTCCCTTGAAAAAGAGATCTGAGACTTGCCTGGTAAAATAACGGTAAATAAATAAATAAAACTTACAATAAGTACAGCTCAAATATCCAAAAGTTTATATTGGTTCATGTATGTACCAAACATTTCTTATCAATTTTTTTCTTTATTATTATGTTGTGGACATTTTGTGTCTGAGATAATAAATTTTGAATATCAAATTAAACAGAAAGTGAAACTTTTCATAAATGCCTAATCTGAGTTTGCCACACAAATAAAATGAGACATTAATTTAAACAGGTGTAAATGCTGTCTCTAAATATTCTTACCTCCAGGTCCAAGAAGACTTCATCTAAGAGGAACTGACAGCCGTCCTTGGCCACCTCGTTCAGAGTCTTTTCAATCACCGTGTCGCTGTCACTGAACTCTGATGACTGGGAGTACTTCCTCTTCAGACTGTTGATGGACTCTCTGAAAAACACACAACTTTATATCCCCCCACTCCAAACAAAAACACAAACATTGGCTGACAGTGCACCTCCCTCTACTAACTGACTGCTGACATGAGAAATGAATGAAATAAACTGGTACTGTGATCAGCATATTTTTATAAAAACTATTACACACCCATGGTATGAAATATATCTCTACTGATATCAGTGCATCTCTACACTGAAGAACACGTTTTAGTACCAGACATGTTTCCCATCAAACATCTGTTTATTTTGTCCAGATATGACACTGTTAATCAGTGGTCACTGAAGCAGTTCATTTTAGACACAATAAACCCAATTTCAAATATTTACATGAACTAAACATGTAATTATTGTATGTTTCATTTCTGATCTCAGACATAAAACCAGAATGACACATACTGTGTATCATGTCTCAAAAGACAACATTTAATGAAATTACAGGAACTAGAAGAATAAAAGTCAAACTTACTTGAATGTCTGGCAGTTGTTGATAATAGCGATCATATACTGAACATAACACTGAGGCAGCTGCCGGTCCCTCAGGTGATCCTCTTTATACGCCACCGCCTCGTCCCGGTACCTGAACACAACACACTGTGTGTTAGCTTCATACAACAGTCTGCCTATTTTATAAAAACATCCAACAGACTGTGTAACAAAATCAAAAACACATTATTATTAGAAAAGCTTGTGACAGGATGCTTACCCTTTTACCATTAAAAAATCTATTCTTTTTCAGACTCAAATGTTCAGATTTTCAAGCTCATTATGGCCATTCCTTATGTCTATGTATAAATCTTCACTTTAAAATAAAATAATATTTTATTAGTGATCAGGCTTTTACATCTGATGTTCAAATATAGTTATTTTAAAAAAAGGGGAAACAGTTTGTAATGTAAGATCTGAATTCTGTATAATTAGTTGTGGAGTTCCTCAGGGTTCTGTGCTTGAGCCAAAAATGATTTAGTAAATGTGTCAGGGCTTCTGAAGTGTGTTTTATTTGCAGATACCACATTACTTTGTTCAGGAGAAAATAAAATATTAAAGGAGACCAATTATGGGTCCTAGAAAATTTTATGGTATGTCTGTGGGCTATCCAGACCAGGTTCATTCAATTTAATGCACAAAATAATTCTCAGATAATAAAATTTCCCATTTTCTAGTTCTGCCTGCTCTGACATCCGTTCAGAAGAGCTGTTTATGTTAATGAGCTCTGTTGGTAACGTCCTCCAAGAATCTGTTGACATTAACTCCGCCCTCCAAAGCCAGCGTTTACGTTAGCATGGCTAATAATAGCAGAAGCTCCGTTGTACAACCATATGAGAGACCCAGAGGCAGAGTCATGGTCCCAGCTTCTTTTTTCTCCCTCTCCTCCTGTGTCGGAGCTCTGCGCTCACTCTGCCTGCTGTTACCAGAGCAGGGAGCAGCAGCGGTCAAAATACCTCAGAAACTCAAAATAATAGGCTAAAGCTAAAAACAATAGAGGCACATGAGAAAGCGTGTTCATAACGAACGAAAATAAATAATTAAATTGTTTGTGTCCGTGTTGGTCTCGAACCCTGGTCTGCCACTCTCTGATCCAAAATACTACCCATTGCCCTACTGGAAGGCTTGTGGTGAAATGAGCTGTGCATTGCACAACAACAACCGTGATGGCTTTTTATACTGAGGAGGTGGAGCCTCATTCAGGGGTTGCTAGGTAAGAGGCTGAACGCAGGTTCCGGTGGGTTGTCGTACAGCTTATGACATCACAATATGTAGGAAGTATAAAACTTGTCATTAATATACAATAAAATACATTTACTTACTTTAAATATGCCCCTGGGTGCATTTTTTTGGTCCTAGGACTTTTTTTAAGAAGTACATACACAAAGTTGAGTAAAAAAACTTTAAAAAGTGAATTTTGCATAATAGGTCCCCTTTAAATGGATATTGGCAATAATACAGGCAGAAACATGGTTTAAATTTAATTAGTTATTAAATTTGGATGAAATTTGGTAACAGGAATAAAACTACTGATGTCCCATTTAGAGTTGATGGTGTTAAGATTTATAGAGTGAGTGAGGTGAAGTTTTTGGGTGTCGTTGATGAAAAGCTGACATGGTCAATTGCATTACTGTATAAAGGAAGAGAGTTATTAAATGATAAGCTCTTTATAATGAAATGATTGTTCCACATTTAATTTATTGTATTGACGTTTGGGGAAAAGCATGCACAACAATTACAAATCATTTTTTTAATTTACAAAAAAGAGCTGTAAGAATTATTAGTAGAAAGGGCTATGGTCACCCAACCAATACATTGT